TATATATATGTGTGTGTGTGTGTGTGTGTGTGTGTGTGTGTGTGTGTGTGCGCGCGCGCGCGCATGTTTGAGTGTGTGTGTAACAATAATGTACTATCATTTGGACAACTAATACCGATGACTTCAGTCGGTATTTTTATAATTATATTAAAAGTAATTTTTTATTATCAAAAAAAATAATTGATGCTGGGCGGGAAAAAATAAATTAGTATTTCCGACCGATATCAGTCGGTATTTTTATAATTATATGATAAATAATTTTTTATTATAAAAAAAAACAATTGACGTAGGGAGAGAAAAAATAAATTAAAATTTCCGACCGGCATCGGTCGGTATTCTATAATTATTTTAATTAATCATTTCTTTTGTAGATAGTATGCAAGTCTAACCAGGCTTTGATCAAAGATTGGCCATTTTCCGACCGGAGTCGGTCGAAAATTTCAACTGTATCAGATAAAGCAAACTTTTTTTTGTGGGACCACATCAACCGACCGATTGCGGTCGGTACTCTTATTTACAATTTTTTATTTGATTTTTTCGACCATTTTACTTTGTTTTCGACAGTCGATATTTCTTTCCGACTAATATCGGTTGGTATGCTTTGGACACTTTTTGACAGTTTTTTAGTAGTGAGAGACTCCAAAAGCAAGAAAGAAATATCAATTTTCCAGTGAAAAAGATGAATTAAGTCATTAAATTCAAGAAGCATTGAGTTAAATGACTTCGCAATAGACAAATATTTTGTACGCATAACGAAGAGTACGACCCACGCTCCTCCTAATGGAGCCGCCGGACGACAACAATCTGGCACATACTGAGCAAGGCCGGATGAAGGGCCAAGTAGCTAAAGTCATGGCTTTAGGCCCCCAATTCTTTGGGGCCCCATTTTAAAATTATGTTTTCTATGTTTGATTTTCTTTAAAAAATATTGAATAATATAAGATAAAAAGTATACAATATTTATAGAAGATGAATAAATAACTATTTACTCAAGGATTGATAATGAATGTTGGTTAATTTAAAGTATGACATTAATATTTTCTTCTCTTTTTTTCATAATAAAACTACTTCTTCTTCTTCTTCTTCTTCTTCTTCTTCTTCTTCTTCTACACAACTATTTATTCTAAAAAAAACAAGAACAAGGACATTGAATAAATTAAATTTTACATTCATTGTCATTATTATTTCTCAGGTTTTCAAGCACGCACAATAACAATCAAAACTAATTAAAGCAGTGAAACTTTGCTTTGCATTTTTTGTTTGTTTTCACTTCATAGATGTAAATTATTTTTTTTCATTATATATTAGGATTCAAATAATTCAATAAGAATAAGGTTACTCAACTTAAAAAAGATTATTATTGGAACTTTAATACAATCTAAAAGAGGATTTCATTTAACAATGATCTCAAAAAAGAATAAATGGGTTATTTATATTGTCAAATATAAAATAACAATTAAAATAAATTATATACATATCATTAATAATTATGCATCAAAAACCTAGACAAAATAGAGTTAAAAAAAATATGTTTGAACTTTTTTTTAAAAGCTTAAGGCCTCTTAATAAAGTTTGGCTTTAGGCCACAACTTTTCTAGAGCCGCCCATGGTATTGAGCGTCAAAAGGATCCCCAAGCAAGTATGAGTCAGACACAAGGTGGAATTCCAGTAAAAGCATCTTACTAGAGACTCCCCGGCGACTCCAACTCGTCAAGAGCAAGAATTAGTGATGGCTAGAAGGACCACACACAATGAAATGCCAACAATAATATTCAAGACTAAAGACTATTATGGAGTGATGACAGCAGAATGTAGAAGAACAACTGTGGGAAGATTTTTGAAGATTCACCCCAAATCGACCGAATCAAATCTTGATTTTCAGAAGGACTCTCGCTGAAAGGTTCGGTTAGAATTGGTGTGTATGACAATTACAATGTGTTTCTAGACTTCAGAAATGATAAGGACTTCAACACGGTTTGGTTCAAAAGAGTAATAGAAATTGATCAGCAACAAATGTGGCTCTAGAAATGGAGGCCGAACTTTAAACCGGAGGAAGATTTACCCATTGTTCCTATATGGGTTTTTCTGCCTAGTTTACCATTTCACCTGCATACCTGGCATTACCTGCATCAAATTACAAGTGAAGTAGGTACACCATTAGAGATGGATGTGGTCACTAGAGGGAAAACTCGACCAAGTATGGCCAAGGTGCAAGTTGAAGTGGACCTACTCAAACCATTACTTAATAGCGTTTGGGTAGGAGATGAAGATGATGACTCCCCTTTGAAGGGATTTGTGCAGAAACTAGAGTATGAGAATGTCCCCAAGTATTACAAGCACTGCAAGAAATTGGGGCATGCACTGATAAATTGTAGAGTGCTGGAGCATATAAGGTTGATGGAAGACAAGGAAGCAGAAGAAAGGGAAAAAGAAGTGGCCAAAGAAAAGGTATTGGAAAAGGTGAAGCCGGTTAACGAAACAAATGCTGATAAATCAAAAATGGGTGAACAATTAAAGCAAAACAAGGACATAGGGAAGCACACCAATAAGGAAGATACAATGGAAGCTAGCAAGGGGAAACAAACAAAACAAAAGAAGGACATAGTGAAGCACACAGACAAGGAAGATATACTGGGAGGTAGTTAGAGTAATGGACGAAATAACACAAACAAAGTTGAGATAACAAATAATTTTGCTGAAAGTATAACGATAACTGAAAGAATTAAAATGCCAAAGAAGAACAACCTGAAGGCAAAGAAAGTAGCTAAAAAGAAAGCCAAAGTAACTTTTAAGGTAGTGATACTGGCGCATGTGGAAACCAAGAAGAAAAAACACAAACAGATAGATCAAGGGGCTCAGAAAGTGATCGAGGAGATTATGCTGGATAAAAGTATATGAAGTTCACTAAAAAATTTAAATGCAGTTGAGGAGGACAAAAGGTTCGAACAGAACCTGGAAAATGATTTAAGCAATACAAATGGGAAAAATGTACATCACATATGCTCAAAGGTTAACAGAGGATCAAAAACTAATTCTACAATAGGGAGTAGCAATCAAATATAGGATACATCAATCATGGAATCATCCAGTTTGGGTTCAAATTAAGAGACAAGAAGGAATTCAGCTTGTCGTTAAAACAAATAGAGGCCAGCCACAAACTCATTTATCCGAGAAGGTGGATGAAGACTCTGGGGATGAGACTACCCATAGTCTCATAGATGCTTTTTCACCTGCTTTGGATAAGGGTAATTAACTTGAAAATCCAGCACAAATATATTTGAAGGAGGTAATAGACAAAGGAGGTCTGTCCCCGGGAAGAAGGGGAAGAAGTGGACAGAGAAAAAGTGGAAGAAAAGAAAACAATCAGTCTAACCCTGAGATGAAGGGGAGGACACAAAATAATTAATCTAATCCTTCTAATGATCAGTGCAATATTTTGGAACATTAGAGGGGTTAGATCAAAAAAAGCAATTCACAGGTTAAAAAACTTGGTTGGTATAAATGGTGTGCAGTTTGTAGTTGTCTTTGAGACATTTATCAGCAAGGATAAAATCGAAGGTTACAAGAGGTTTTTGGGTTTCCAGCATTGTTTTGCAAATGAGGTAGGGCAGATTTGGTGCTTCTGGAGTAATAATTTGCAGGGAAATGTTATTTCTAGTGATGATTAACAAATCACTATCAAATTTCAGGACAATGCGGTGATAAGGATATTACTATCTCTGCAGTATATGCTAAGTGTACTGCTATAGAAAGGAAGGAACTTTGAGAGAGCCTCTCTGAGTTAGAAGCTCAAGTAGATGGTCCTTGGTGTATTGGTTGGGGGGGGGGGGGATTATAATGTAATACTAGATCCTATAGAAAAATTGGGAGGTACACCACACAGGGCGCATATGAGCTTTGACTTTGCTGCTTGTATGGATGAATGTGGGATGGTGGATGCAAGGTATATAGGCTCTAACTTCACCTGGTGTAACAATCGAAGACCTAGTAAAAGAATTTGGAAAAGGTTGGACAAGATCATGGTTAATGACTGTTGGAATGATAAGTTTCGGAACATTGTTGTTAGACATCTCAGCAGGACTGCTTTAGATCATAGACCATTGTTGTTGAGGTGCTTCTCAGATCAACATAATGGCATAAAATATTTTAGGTTCCTCAATTTTTAGGTGGAGCAGTCAGGATTTTATGATCTGGTAAGAGAAACATGGGACATAGAAATCTCTAGTAACTCTATGTGGAGGTTGCAACAAAAGCTTAAAATACTGGGAAGAAGACTAAGCAGGTGGTCTAGGGAAGATATTGGTGATGCATATCAAAAAGTCCATGAATGGGAAGCTACTATGCAAAATTTGGAGTAGCTTGATTCCATTGACAATAATGAGAACTCCAGGGAAGAGCTAAACAAAGCACATGCTGAATATGTAAAATGGATGGCCATGCAGGAAGACCTACTAAAACAGTAATCCCGAATCAAATGGCTTGAGGAGGAAGACTGCAATAGTAGGTACTTTCATAATACTATCAAAGATCAGAGATGAAGGATGCAGATATATAGAATCAAGAATAGAAGAGGGAGGTGGATACATAGAGAAGACAAGATATCAAAAGCTGCAATCAGAAACTTTGAAAAGCAATTTAACCTTCCATATGTTGAGATCATTAACGACACAATCAATTGTATTCCTAGACTGATATGGGAAGAAGATAATACAATGCTATCAAGAATGTCTGATGAGGAGGAAGTAAAGGAAGTTGTGTATGACTTGATCTCTACAAGCTCAGCTGGACCAGACGGATTTAATGGTATGTTTTTATCATAAATATTGGGATATTATCAAATGAGATGTAGTAGAATTTGTGCAGAGCTTTTTTTAGGGGTAATAAGTTAACTAAATTATACTCCCACACATGTCTTGCTTTGATTCCTAAAGTTGAATCTCCCTCATTCTTTTCTGAGTTTATCCCTATTAGTCTTAGTAACTTTTCTGCCAAAATCATCTCCAAAATTTTAGCTAGGAGATTGAATCCTTTACTCCCTAATCTAATATCTAAAAATTAAAGTGGTTTTGTCAAGGGTAGATTTATTACGGACAATGTAATCTTAGCACGTGAAATAGTGCAGGGGGTGAATCAACATAATAGGGGAGGAAACCTAGTGATAAAGCTTGATATGGCCAAAGCATATGACAGAATATCATGGAATTTTCTTATTTTAATGCTAAGGAGATTTGAATTTTTTGATTGGTGGTTAGATATAGTATGGAGAATGGTTTCAGAGGTGTGGTATTCAATCATAATTAATGGGTCAAGAAAAGGATTTTTTACTTCTTCACATAGACTAAAATAGGGGGATCCACTGTGTAACGACCCGGTCAGTCATTTCGAGAGTTATAGCCCGGTTTTCCCATTCCTGTTTCTTTATGTGTTGTTCAGCGGTGTTGAGTTGTATCGAGTTGGTAGGTTTAGGTCCGGAGTAGTTTTGGAGTAAAATAAACACTTAGTCTCTTAGTTAGAAAGTTAAGTTAGAAAAGTCAACCGGAAGTTAACTTATGAGTAAACGAATTCGGATGTGGATTTTTATGATTCGATTAGCTTCGTTGGGTGATTTTAGACTTAGGAGTATGTCCGGAATATAATTTGGAGGTCCGTGGTAGAATTAGGCTTGAATTGGCGAAAGTTAGAAGTTTAGAAGTTCTTAGGCTTGAATCTGAGGTTGATTCGATTTTTTGGGTATTCCGAAGGTTCGACTAAGTTCGGGTAGTGATATATGACTTGTTGGAATTATTGGTTGAGGTCCCAAGGCCTCGGGTGAGTTTCGGATAGGTTTGGGTTGTGTTGCGCTCATTTTTCTTATGTTTCGACGCCGTTTCTTCAAGCATAAATGGTACCAGATTAAGCAAATAAGCTGCGATTTCTATTTTGATTGAAGCATTAGATCCGTATCATAATTACGGAGCCATAGCAAAAAGAATCGTCGAATTTGGGCATCGTATGAGGAATTTATGGTCATTTTACTAAAACATTGGGTTGCGAGATTTGTTTTAGAATAATTACGCAATTGCCACTGAATTCGTATTTAAAAATCTGTACGATTTGCAAATATTAAAACCTACATATCTCCTTCATTATAAGGTCAAATTGAGTGATTCAAAAGCCTAACCTAACTAAACTTTCACAAGGAATCCATTGGAGGCATAAAAATCGAGTTTTGGGGATCGTTTGGCATAAGAAACGAGGTAGAATTGCTGGCAGAAAAATATATAAAACGAGGGTTTGTTCATTCGGTTATATTTTGAATTAGGGAACTCGGATTTGGGCGATTTTGGGGGCGATTTTCACCATAAGGATTGGGGTAGGTGTTCTCTATTCGGTTTTGGTTATATTTCATGAATCCATCTTCGTTTTTGGGATTTGATTGATGATTTCAAAGTGAAATTAAGGGAGTTAGGGCTTGGGTTTTGGAGAGTTTAAGTGAAGATTTGAGGGACCAAACGGAGTTTAATTTTGATGAATTTTATATGGTTAGACTTGGGATAGGACGAGGTTTATTATCCTACCATTTTTGACTGATTTTGAGACGTGGGCCCGAGGGTCGGATTTTGGCCGATTTCGGATTTTTAGCATATTTATGCAGTTTTTATTGTGGAATTCGATTCTATAGACTATGTTGATAGTAGTGTTCTGATTTTTCGTTAGATTCAGAGCTTTTGGAGACCGAGTCCAAAGACGAGGGCATCTCAGAGTAGGATTTTACGCTGTTAAGGTAAGTAACAGTTTTAACTCTGGCTTTGAGGGTATAAACCCGGAGAATTTGATATCGTGTGACTGTTTGGAGGTGATACCCACGCTAGGTGACGGGCGTGTGGGTGTATACCTCGAGGGATTGAGACTTGGTCCGTCCCGTGAGGCCTCATGGCCATCATATGTGTTTACGTAGTTACTTGTTGTTGAACTTGTTTGCCTTCATGTTAGAGATCATGCTTAGGCTTTATTCATGCTCACCTTATTTGTGCTCAGTCATAGAAATGATTGTACATGTTTACCTCAGTCTCTATTATTTGCTAATATGCTGTAATACTTGATGTGGGCTGTGTTCCCTTATTTGTTGATGATGGTGAGGCTAGTGAGGTACATGATTGAGTGAGGCTGAGGGCCTGGTTATGAGGATATTAATACCATAGTGCATGAGTTGTCTGCGTAGCACGTGAGTTGACCTTGCGGGTCCAGGTATTGATACCATAGCGCGTGAGTTATCCGCATAGCACGTGAGTTGACCGTGCGGATCCAGGTATTGATATGATGGCACGTGAGTTGTCTGTGCTTAGCGCTTGGGCTTTGGGAGCCCCTCTAGAGTCTGTACACACCCCCAGTGAGCGCAGAGTGTTGAGCGTTAAGTGCTGAGTGATGGGGTGACATTGCTGTGAGGTTGCATTTACTTTTGTTGTTGCTGCATTTACCTATTAATTTTACTTGTAGTCTTACTGATTTATGAAATTACCTATCTACTCCTGTTTGTACTTAATTGTGGAAATAATAATTGGATTATTCTGCTTAGCTCGTCAATACTGCTCAGTTCCTTAGTTATTTCTGTTACTACTGAGTCGGTTGTACTCATACTACACCCTGCACTTTATGTACAGATCCAG